GCAAATTATTCTATGAAGGTAACTTATTAAGACTATTAAAAAATCTGGTCATAATTTTGCAGTCCAATGAAGTCTTTAATTTTCAAATAGAAATGACCTTTAGAAGCATCACATTAAAAGGATTATACTAAAAAAGTCTTCGATGCTAAAATAGTGTCTCCAGTGCCTACCATGTCCTAGATAGAATTTTCTTGTGAGAAAACCACAGCTACTTATTTTCAGTGGCCTCATTCAAACAAACTTGCATTATTCCAAGACAAGATAAAAGGAATACTGGTGTGTTCAAAGGTGTGAAGTGACTTTTCTTTCCTAGCATTACATGGTAAGGAAAAATGATTTTTTTTTTCTTGAGTTTCAAAAATGAGGCCAGTTAAGGATTTAGACATTTCAAAGGAAAAAAAAAAAAAAAAACCCATATTTTCTCTATTAGACCAAAATGGAGTCTATGTGATTCAATGCCTCTAAAATTATTTCTAAACCTAAAAATGTCCAAATATTCTCTAAGTTTAGCCAACATTATAGATTTCTGAAAATCCTTTCTGATCGCCTTTTCAAAAGAAGTAACAGAAATAAGATTGACCTAAAACTCTACTTCTATATTTCTATACCTCTTAATGTTCTATTCTCCCCAAGTAGCATTTTGATAAGTGATGTCTGGTACAAAAATAAGGATTTCAAAGGACACCAATCTGTGAAAAGATCGCTGCAATCTCAAAGGCTCTAGGTTACCCACTTCTTAGAGTGACTTTTTCCCCCCACTCATTGGAGAAATGGTCTCTCTGAAGCACCATCAGCAAAATATTCCATTATGAGACATTTAGCTCAATTGCTGTACTGCATAGCTGAAATACGGTAGTGTCAAAATGTTCTCTTGAAGGAATGCTTACTCCTTAGAGATGATGGCTAGCAGATAGAAGTTGATAATATAAGAAGTATTGTTTCTAAATAGTGAAAATACATGTAATTTTACTTAAAAATGCTTTCTTTTAACTTCTATTTCTTAGAAAATAAAATACATCCAGTTGATTAAAAGGATAAAAAGGAGATTCTTGTTTTCTAAACCAGGTGCGGTGGTGCTTGCCTGTAATCCCTTAGCTACTAGGGAGACTGAGGTAGGAGGATTACTTGAGGCCAGGAGCTTGGGCTAGCCTGGGTATCATAGTGAGACCCAGTGGCAAAAATAATAACCAAAAAATAATAATGATAGAAAATAAGATAGAAACATAACGAAATTTTAAGTTCATCCATAGAGCTCAACATTCAAATAACAGAAGTTCCAGGAAAAAAAAAAAAATAC